TACTCATGTAGGTCAAGGCCCAGCTTTTTACACTTAGTTTTCATTCACCATTACTAAGGTATATACTTGTGMATTTTAAGCATTTCCTTCATCCACCATCTCATCACAGCTCATCAGTCGAGTTTATATTTCCCCCACCCTTCCTCAAGTCCTCCTTTGTGTCCAAAAAGGACCTATTAGAAGTAAGCTTATTTTAGTTGTGACCTCTGGTTCCACCTCAGACCTGCTGACAGGAGCGTTAGCATGTAGCCCGACTGTTTTACATGTTATTGACGAGCGGTGAGGCATCATAGTCATTTTATCACACCAATTTCATTCTTGGCCGATTTCCCCTTAGGCAGGTTAGTGGCAGCTTCCCATTGATTTTTTTTTCACGTAATTGATCACAGACCTGCTTGAGCGATTTATTGGCCTGCTCGCACCTGTGATTAAGGCTGAGGCCACATGTGTTTATGCATGCGCCCACTACTAATTTCCTCAAGATCAACCCTGTGCTGTACGCTGTCACTCTATACTGTCAGAAACTGTCAGGGTAATGAATGCCGTCCTAGTGTTGGGGACATTTCTAATATACTTGACTAAAGTCATATCTGATCCAAAGTCAAAAGAGAAGGAGACGGGCTTTTCTGACTGACCAATGATGGGACTTCACGTGTTCACATACAAAACCGTATTCATTCTAAGCYGCTTCATTCACAGGATTAATATTAGAGCACTCAGGAGCCCAAAGCCACAATGACATCATAGCATTTGCTTTGGAAGCTAAGGCTAGGATAATTACAGAAGAAGACAAAGACGAAGAGCTGAGTACTTTTTAAATATACACCATGTTAGCCGGGCATGTCGGGAGGAGTGAGGTTAGCATGTAAGTCATTTACAGGCCTTACTTATTATGCTCCAAACCACAAGCCATGTTGCTGAGTTGGAGTGCTTAGCGTTGGTGCAGCTCATCTCCCCTTGGTACTGTGACAGAGCTGGAATAGCAAGGATCAGGGATAAAGCCGTTCAACAAGCTCAAGAGCTATCAAAGATCCACCCTTTTAATTTGGTTAATTTACAGGCAGCTTTTTCACTAATAACGTTCTTGGAGTGATACTTGACAAAAGGAAATGCACACAGGATGTTTCTGTCTAAGAGGGAAATGTCTCAATTTTTTTTGTCTGCCACCCTCCATGTTTTACCTCTTCTCTTAAATTTCAAACGGCCACAACGTTAAGGAAAACTTTCTGGCGATTATTTCCCATGCAACATGCTAGCAGCACATAAACCAATTTGTTCAAAGGGCTGCGGCTTCAGGGACACCATATTTCACTTGAAATTTTACTACATGGCCCGCAGAGTGTTGGCCAGACAGAACGCTGGGCAGCAGTCTCATGTGGTTTCGGGGCTAAAACAGCAGAGAAAAATAACGAGAGAGAAAATCTGGCCTGTTTTCACAAGAAAAAAAAATAACTTCCATCTACATCCTAAAGCTTCCTGATGCAAAGATATAAATCAGTACATGTCACAGAATTTAAAGCCCAGGGCAAACAGAATCAAATAGTGTTTTTTATTTGTATTTTTTTATCACTTATTTCTCACACATTTTTTTCTTGTTTTGTGACACAATTTAATATAATGAATGCACACTATTATGTAAATAAGGAAGTATTAAAATGTATTTACATGGCGGACTTTGCAGATAAATCACAAAGTGCTGCCAATACAAAATAATACAATAAAAACATAAAAAAAGATTAAACAAAATAGCAAACATCTCTGAGTTTCAGCTGATTTTAAAAGACACTGCATCATAAAAACAAGATGAATGCATGCAGGCATAAAAACATATCCCCTTTGGTTTTAAACAGTTTTGTGTAACTATCAGAGTTGTAAAGTAACTAAGTACAAATACTTTGTTACTGTATTTAAGAAGAAATTTTTGTCTATCTGTGCTTTACTTGAGTAATAATTTTTCAACGTACTTTTTACTTTTACTCTTTACATTTTTACACAGTTATCTGTACCTTCTACTCACTACATTTAAAATAAAGTTAGGTAGAAAGTTCCTATTTTATTCCAAGTTAAATACTATCCTGATAAATTGTGTCTCCTGGATAGAGTGAATTTAATTGTGGTTGGATGAGAAGTATAAATATATACCATTCTGACACCGTATTATTTTGTACACAACCCATCACAGCTGCACGCCGTTAGAAAAAAAATGTCATTGTGCAAAATCTTACTACTCACTTTTACTCAGTTTTACTTTTAATACTTCAGTAGATTTTGTGTCAGAAATTTGCTTTTGACACTTAAGTACAAAAAATATCAGATACTTTAAGACTTTTGCTCAAGCAATAGTTTTAGAGAAGAGGAACGTTGGTTTGAGAGAGGAGTAAAAGAAGCCGTTTTTGTGAAGAAAGACCGTCCATCATTAAACAGAGGTGGAGGCCTCGGTTTTCAGTTGTCCCCCTCCTACAGCGCGGCCATTGCCAGTATCACTCCACCCCCTGTTAACAATAAGTGTTAATTAGGTGTCAATGATAGTCATGTGATGTGAGTATCAGTCACATGGAGGCAGGGCTTAAAAGCCTGAATTTTGCCTGAAACTCTCAGACTGAAGAAGTCTCTTGGAGGAGAGACGAAACGTTTCATTAGAGAAGAACCCGTCCAGAGGACCTATATTTTTTTTCTTTTTGGTTGTAGAGAAGACTTTAACTTTTACCAAAGTATTTTTATGATAAGACACTTGTACTTTTACTCAAGTRTCACTTTGAGGTACTTTATACAACACTGGTAACTATTAACAGTTTCTGGTTTAAAGACCGAAGGGTCCAAGTTGAAGGCTTAAACAACTCATCAGGATCTTAAAAAGCTCTGAGAGTCAACATGCTTGACTTGACACCAGAGTTTAAATGATCAATTTGTTGCTGGATTTGTAAGGCCTTGTTTACTGGGCCAATGATCAGACTCTGAGTGGAGAAAGGATGTTGTTATTTAACCAATTTTCAATTTCTGACAGTCGTTGAAGTAATTCTGATTGATCTGATGTCATGTTTCATGTGTTGATCAGATGTCAGGTTCTGTTAGAGTGTTTAAACATTATTTTAATGAAGAAATCCAGAAAATCTGCAGATATTTGCACATGATGCTTCTTCTTGAAAACCTGTTAAGCCCATTATTTAATAMAAGTACTCAAATAAATGTGATGCTGAACGGTGAATATGTTTCATGCCATCCATAATGAGCTTTACGCAATTAAAACATAACAAAAGTGGTTGCACATTAAACTCTGCTGCAGCACCGCTTTGTGCTTGGAGGTCTTCCTTCCCTAAAGTGGAGGCTTGGATGCTGTGCTGATGTACATAAAAGAAAGGGCAGAAGAGAGTGTTTTAAAATCCTCCCCAGTAAATGCAGAAGAGGAGGAAAAGTTGAAGTGTCCAACTAAACTGACAACGGGCGGGCTGATGTGCTCGTTAAGAGTCAGGAGAGCGCATCAGCGGAGCAGGTCACCCTGCTTTCTCACATCACAGCCCCATCAGAAATGCTTTCAAGTGTCCTTCTGCGTCGCCAAAAATGACAACGGCGAATCGATAAGCGCTTGAAATGAAAAGAAGCCGCCGGTTTGCCCCCGAGGCGAAAGATTTCATCCCCCGCCAGCCTCGTCTGAACTTCAGGCATTCCTCTGCATCTTTCTGCGTGAGAAAGAGGAGGCTCTTCACTGACTTTTTTTTTCTATCTCCCTCTCTCTCTCTCACTCTTTTTTGTAAAAAAAAAAAAGGTAAGAGAAGCTACAGCTGAACCATGGATCCTCTCCAGACTCACGCTCTTTTTTCCCCCTCCTCTCTCCTTGCAGGCGGGGCGGGATGTGGAGATCTTTGTGATGCAGGGCTGATGGCTTTTGCACGGGTTTTCTGCTCGTTTACTTGAATGTTGTGTAGGTGCGCGCGCGCTTTTGCGTGTTTTTGCATGCGATAGTCTGGTAAAAAATAAATAAATCTGAACCTTTACGCAAAAATGCGCATTGAAATGCAACTTTTTCCACATTGATTGACGTTTGAATGCTGTTTTAAAGAAAACAAATAAGTGAAAACTGTTATTTGGATTGTTTTTTAGGAAAACAGAGT